CATGAGACGGCCCTTAAAGTTTTAACCCATTGGTATTATACCCCCTCTAGACTACATAACATGTTTCCAGGAACGTCGCACCTCTGTTTTAGGGGTTGAGGCCATGCTAGCACTCTGGTGCATATGTTTTGGGCTTGCCCTGGCCTTTCTTCAATCTGGTGTAAAGTTTCCAAGGTAGCCTCGGCCCTAGCGGACTGGCTGGTAAATTTGTTATTGCAAAATTGTTTATTGGGTTCTCCCATTCTGGGGATCCCGGTCAACATAATGAGGCTAATTCATACGATCTGCGTCTCTACCCTATGGGCTATTGCCCTTCATTGGAAGACACCAGCAGTCCCTTTGTCCTCTGTTCTGTGTAGAGTTCATATGGTTATGCTCATGGAACGTATTCAATATACATTGCCAGATAAGGTGCAGTTATTCAACAGAAAATGGGATGGTTGGAAGTCATATCGGCATTTATTGCTAGAATAACAGGTTATCATAGACTTATTGACATTGAATTTTTATTGGTTGTGATACGGTTCAGTATATCTAACTGCCTACCTCATTCATGTACTCGAACTTTCTTTTTCTACGACAGTTGTTTTTTTTACTTATGTGCCTTTTTGTTGTATACCATACTTCTATTTTTGTTGTTTATTTTCTAATAGAAACGTTTGTAAACAAAAAAAAACTTTGAGGTGGATCCCAACTTTAAAGTTTGGATCTTACCCCACCTTGGACTGGCTGAGCGACATCAGGCAACAGCGGGCTTGAGCCCCCTGTTAGCAGAAAATGATTGAGTCACAGGAGTGCAGAACGAACCGCACCATGTGATACACAGGAGAAGTACAGCCAAAGCAGCCTGTAAATTGTGCTATTTACACAGAAGCTTTTTTAAGCCATTTTGAAGAAAGGACGATAGTCCTGAACTCACAGTACCCTCTGAGAAACCTACAAAATGGATAGTTTTTCTTCTAGCTATTTTACAAATCTGTGTTATGAGTGAAGGAAAGCAAGGTCTGTGACTTGGCTGATAACTGCATGGTTTGGAGCGGGGAAAGATTTTGTGGGTTTGTTTTACAGTAAGTAATTTTGTTAGCTTGTCTGTGTGTGGGAGGGATGGAAGTTGAGTTAGGGAGTAGAAGAAAAAAACCTGCTCGGCCACTTTTAATCAGTGTACTTGTGGCTGTACCTCTGATACATGTATGCAATTGTGTGGTTTAGCCAGTAATTAAAATAGTTGTTAAAAAAAAAAAAGTTAAATGTTTATCTGTTATTTAAAATTGCAGTTTAGTAGCTGAAGCAAATAAAAAATAAGTATAAAACACGCTGAACACCCCAGTATTTACTCCACATTGTGTGTGGATTTCAGATTCCTTTCAGATTCAGAATTCTTTATTAATCCCAAAGGGAAAATACAAAGGTACAATTGCATTCAACAAGACAACACAAAAATCACAATGACAAGGCAGAACAACAATACAATTACCAATAACATCAACCGCAGTTAGTTTATAACCAAAAATTGTAATTTTTCAAAAATTGTTTAAATTTTTTTTTTTTTTTTAATATTTTGTTTTTTTTTTTTCTTTAACATACTGTCACCCTAGCAGTACAGTGTCACCATAGTAACACTGTACTACTTGTGGGGGGAGATAAAGATTTTTTTTTTTTCTTTTACACCCATAAAAGGCTCTAAAAGCAATCATTTCTCCTTCTGTCTAGCTGCTTTCTTGCAGCCATTGAGAAATACTGTGAGAGCTGTGATTGGTCACAGCTTGTCACATGGTACAAGGCTGTTGTGAATAGCCTTGTACCATGTGACCTCTGTGATCATTCACAGATTTCACTAGTAGTAAGCAATCATGTCAGGAAGTGACATCTTGCTTACTACTATTCATGTGATCACTGATTGGCCAATCATTGATCACATGATCAGGACTTCACACAGGAGGTCCCGTACAGCGATCGGTGTTCCGCTGTGTCCTTCTAGCTCCCAGGGAGCGCGCACAGGCAGGGAAGTAGGAGGACATTTATAAACAGTCACCCGCTCCCACACTGCTCCCTTCCCGAACGTTTATGTACATGAGCCGGATGGGAAGTGGTTAATATGCATTGTGTTAAGGCAGCCCATTCATATATACCACAACAGACCACAAATTGGTCTTTCATCAAGTTTGTTTAGTGTAATGTGATGCACTTGCAGCACAGGTGGGTTGGGGTGCATTTAGACAGCCAATTTATTTTGAACAATAAATGGGAAATTTTTTGAGTTTCATTTGCTGCATATTTGTTCCATTTCTGGGATTCAAAAGTACTGTATAGGCAGCTGGCATTTTCAGAAGGATATTGGCAATCTGGTGGTGTCATTGGTGTGGTGGACCTTTTTGGCACTGGAACATTAGGCTACGGCTCAATGCCTAGGAAGAGCTGGCACATCTTCAGTGATCTGGACGCTGGGTTATTGATTGATCCTGTGTGGCTCGGGACAGTACACTGACAGAGGCGCACATTTTTGCCCTTAATTGCTCCCGATACATCTACTTTTGTGATTAAAATCTTTTTAATAAAATCTTATATTGACATACTGCACCAGAGCAGTGGCGCTGTCTGTCCCTTCCTCCTCTTTTGTTAGCAATTTGTGTTTCTCTGATTTCAGGTTTCCTTAAAAGATGACTTAGCAGAGGATAATTTTTTAACGTTCATTTTCAGTACAATCTACATAATGTGTAATACTTGCTACCTCTCAAAGTGACCATAGTATTCCTCACAATTGTACCTTCATAATTCTTTTCCCAGAAGGCCTCTTTGTTCAGGTATCACACAACATCAGCTTTCAGTTCCTGAATTAAAATCTTTCCCCCAGATGTCAAATTTATGTAAATCCTGGTACCTGTTACAGTAGTCTATTTGTTATGAGCTTTGTTGTATTACATAGATCATCTGTTCCTCTTACCTTAAAATCTTAAGCCTGCAGCAGAAAGGTGACATCATTATCCAACATTGCATCTGTCAGCCTAGACCTAGAGCAAAGAGACTGCATTTTAATGATGCAAATGGTTTTTGAAATTATACTGTCATATTTTAATATATCATAAATGTATTAATTAGATTCACTTTCAACTTACTTGAATATATAGAGGTAACAAAGAGCTACGAAAGTGACAGGTTCTATTTAAGGGAATGATCCATGTTAGTAAATTGTTACATGTTACACCCGTGCAGGGTTCTGCCCACAGAGGGGCATCATTCATTCACAGTGTTCTGCGAATGCATGAAGTACAAGCCCCATCTTCCACCGCGGCAGATGGGTTGTAGTTCTCAATGAACTGTGAGGAAGCTAGTGAGCGCTCCTGTAGATCATTGATCTTCCTGCTCTGCAGTAACTGCCTTCCTGTACAGGACAGCTTTACTAAGAGTCTGCAGAATCTTGGCACTGAACCATTGATCTGTTGATCAGTGGTGTAATGCTCTTTAGGCTCCTAAGAAAAAAATTAATAAATGCACATTTTTTTTTACCTGCAAAAAATGTAAAAAAATTTTTTATTCTTTTTTTTTTTTTTTTTCAAAATATTTTTATTAGAAAGTAAAGTATAGCAGTATACATACAAATACGGATCACAGTCCGAACATAGACACATCATGTAGCATCCCGTTACGCAGACGGGTCATGGGTTTAAACAAAAGTACACAGCTGGTCGAAATATATCCTTAATGCAAATGTATATGGCAAACCAATAGATACAAGGAGTATAGTAGATAAATCAAAATGGGTATAAGGATTACTGTCATATGTACTGGTGAGCCCTTTATTATTCTGTATTTAAAGCGACAAATTATAATAAAATAATACAAACAATTATATTCCTTAGTACACAAAAATGCCTCCTTATCCAAATATACAATAGATTTCTAATGTCTAAAATATGATTGTGCATTAATGCATCATGACAAAAAATTTTAAAAAAAAGACAAAATAAATGATAAAGCAAATTTAAGGTATATAGCCAATGATTCTACTCCGTTCAATACCTTAGAATCTTTTACAGCTTAAAACTGCCATATTCAATTATATTCAGTAGTATAGGATGTTTGTCACAGGTGGGGATGCAATTGCAGAGCACCTCCAAAAGTTTTTTTTTTTTTTTTTTTGAAGGACCTAAGAGGGATAAGGGATGGGAGGGAGAAAAAAAAAAGAAGAAAAAAAAAAAAAAAGGAAGAAAAAACTGAAAGATAGGGGAAAAAAAGAATAAACCTTTAATACACTGTTGTGTACCACTGGATTTGCTTCCACTACATCTACATATTTGTAAGAAAAGTCTATCTCACATTCAATATAATGTGGGCCCACTGTATCCAAGTTTCTTTTAAAATGAGCTTCTGGTCTCCTCAACAGAGTTCCTACATGTGCATTATATCATTTATTGTTCCAATCCAATGGTGCACATCCAATGTGCATTTATCATTATTATTATTATTCTTTACAAAAGTGAAGTTATCCTCTAAAAATGTTTTTCTTTTAGAATGAAATACAAAATATGTGAAGCAAATGCACAAAATGTAGCTTTTTTCATTTGTTTTTTAATAGCTAATTGAAGTAAAATACAGAAGTGCATGCTTTAGTTTACTTGGGAAAATATAAAGGAAGCATCCCTAGGTGATAGCATCAGCTTTATTTGATGCATGTGTCAAATGTATAAAGAATACCTCAAAAGATCAATGCCTTTCATCTGGATAGTGTGATGGTATAAACTCCATACAAGCAGAAGCGGCAGTATAAGTGGACGCCTAGCAACGCTCATTATGTAGGATTTATTCAATAGCCCAGGGAAGATTCTCTGTGCGTTCCTAAAAAAAAAAAAAAAAGCATGCTTCAGCTAAAGCCAACCACCTTCCTGTAACACCATACTTCAGCATATATCCATCACATTTTTACCAGCCTTCCTGTCAACCAGCCAGCAATCAGCTGCCTGTTGTTGGATGAAAATTGGACTCCAATTGGATGCACTTTGTTAGCTCACGTTTGGCTGCAAGCAGGGGCAGACTGACCATTTGGGGCACTCGGGCACTGCCTGAGGGCCCGGGGTCAGTAGGGTGTCCCTGGTACCTTTCATAGGCTTTTTTGGATGTGGTTTGAGTGTAGGCGAGGACACAGGGGCCCCATGATCCCCTATTGCCATGGGATTATTTGTCACTCCACCCCTGGCTGCAAGTATGAGGGTACGGGCAGCACAGTGGCTGAGTGGTTAGCACATCAGCCTGGCAGTACTAGGGTCGTTGGTTCGAATCCCAGCCACGGCACCTCCTGCCTGAAGTTTGCATGTTCTCCCTTTGCCTGCGTGGGTTTCCTCCAGGTACTTCGGTTTCCTCTCACACTCCAAAGACATGCTGGTAGGTTCATTGGCTCCTGTCTAAATTGGCCCTAGTATGTGTATGTATGAATGTGAGTTAGGGACCTTAGATTGTACACCCCTTGAGGGTTAGGGACTGATGTGAATGTACAATATATATGTAAAGCGCTGCGTAAATTGACGGTGCTATAGAAGTACCTAAAATAAATAAATAATTGGATCCTGTCTAAATTGGCACTAGTATGTGTATGTATGAATGTGAGTTAGGGACCTTAGATTGTACACTCCTTGAGGGTTAGGGGCTGATGTAAATGTACAATATATATGTAAAGCACTGCGTAAATTGATGGCGCTATATAAGTACCTGAAATAAATAAGTGGGACAGCATTCATTTTTGTGTCAAGTAATGGATTAGTGCATTGCATATGGAACAAAAGGGTCAGCAAGTTGCTTTTCTAATCTGCCTATCTACATACATCAGAGATGTGGACAGGCCAGCCACATGAAACAAAAGATCTTACTTTGCTTTTAGTTTAGTCCATTAATCATGAAAGTGTGACAGAGACCTTTTGTATTATTTTGGGCTTACAGTATGTGCACCTTTTTTACCTTAGTTTCAAACAGAGCAGCTGCCATTGTTGCTTTTTTGGATTGGGTGCAGACACACACTGGAAGTTTTTGGCTGCCTTGTCTTGGCTTTTAATGTTTTACTTTACATTTAAGGAGAAAGGGGCTGCCTGCAGGTCAGCCTGCTCTCTGTTTCTGCATTGCTATATATGTCCCACCGCTGGGAACTCAGATAGTTTAGAATTATGGACCACACACTTATCAGAGGTGACAACATTGTGGTTTCCACATGTATTGCAAATGCATGCAACAAAAACGTTTGTTTTTAGCCCGGGTTCACACTGATGCGGGGTGGAATTTGCAGCATTTTATGTTTCAGCCATAAAAATCATTGGCTGAAACCTGTTGACGAAATTACACCAACCACAGTGCAGGTCAGTTGGGGGCGCGCTCATGTGCCTCCAAACCCAGGAGCAAACGAACAAAGCTTATTTACGTTGTTGAGCCTTCAGCTTCCGCTCGGTCACAGTAAATCTACTGTTACCGAGTGGCAAGTAGTTAAAGTGGAGTTCCACTCATCCTGTCAAAAAAATAAAAGTCAGCATCTACAAAAACTGTAGCTGCTGACTTTTAAAAAACAGCCACTTACCTGTCCCTCGGTCCCGTGGTGTGTCCCCCACAGCCCGTTTCACCTGCCATCCTGGATTCCTGTTGGCCGGCATCTTCAGTATGGGCACCCAGCTGTGACTGCTTGCGGCTTCACAGCCGGGTACCCACTGCGCATGCGCAAGTAGCACTGCACTTCATGAATGGTCCTGTAGTCTTCTGGGACCTGTCACGTGTCCCAGAAGACTACGGGGAGGGAAGGAGGGAGGACACCTTCCGTTTCCGATCGCCTAGGCGGTATGACCGCAATTGGGACTCGGTACCTGTTAAATTTGGGTACCCGCCCCCTGCCCCCCAAAGGTCCTTAATGGGGAGCGGGGGAGCAGTCCTTAAAGTGGAGCTTCGCTTTAAGTGTGTCAGGAACCCTTTGCATTGTACAGCAGCTATGCACATTTTTCCAATGTCAGCACCTTTATGCTGTCATACAGTGGGGCAAAAAAGTATTTAGTCAGCCACCAATTGTGCAAGTTCTCCCACTTAAAAAGATGAGAGAGGCCTGTAATTGGCATCATAGGTAGACCTCAACTATGAGAGACAAAATGAGAAAAGAAATCCAGACAATCACATTGGCTGATTTGGAAAGAATTTATTTGCAAATTATGGTGGAAAATAAGTATTTGGTCAATATCAAAAGTTCATCTCAGTACTTTGTTATATATCCTTTGTTGGCAATGACAGAGGTCAAACATTTCCTGTAAGTCTTCACAAGGTTGGCGCACACTGTTGCTGGTATGTTGGCCCATTCCTCCATGCAGATCTCCTCTAGAGCAGTGATTTTTTTGGGTCTGTCGCTGGGCAACACGGACTTTCAACTCCCTCCAAAGGTTTTCTATGGGGTGGAGATCTGGAGACTGGCTAGGCCACTCCAGGACCTTGAAATGCTTCTTACGAAGCCACTCCTTCATTGCCCGGGCGGTATGTTTGGGATCATTGTCATGTTGGAAGACCCAGCCACGTTTCATCTTCAATGCCCTTGCTGATGGAAGGAGGTTTGCACTCAAAATCTCACGATACATGACCCCATTCATTCATTCTGTCCTGTACATGGATCAGTCGTCCTGGTCCCTTTGCGGAGAAACAGCCCCAAAGCATGATGTTGCCACCCGCATGCTTCACAGTAGGTATGGTGTTCTTTGGATACAACTCAGCATTCTCTCTCCTCCAAACACGATGAGTTGTGTTTCTACCAAACAGTGCTATTTTGGTTTCATCTGACCATATGACATTCTCCCAATCCTCTTCTGGATCATCTAAATGCTCTCTAGCAAACTTCAGACGGGCCCGGACATGTACTGGCTTAAGCAGGGGGACACGTCTGGCACTGCAGGATCTGAATCCCTGGCGGCGTAGTGTGTTATTGATGGTAGCCTTTGTTACGTTGGTCCCAGCTCTCTGCAGGTCATTCACTAGGTCCCCCCGTGTGGTCCTGGGATTTTTGCTCACCGTTTCTTGTGATCATTTTGACCCCACGGGATGAGATCTTGCGTGGAGCCCCAGATCGAGGGAGATTATCAGTGGTCTTCTTCCATTTTCTAATTATTGCTCCCACAGTTGATTTGTTCACACCAAGCTGCTTGCCTATTGCAGATTCAGTCTTCCCAGCCTGGTGCAGGTCTACAATTTTGTTTCTTGGTGTCCTTCGACAGCTCTTTGGTCTTCACCATAGTGGAGTATGGAGTGTGACTGTTTGAGGTTGTGGACAGGTGTCTTTTATACTGATAACAAGTTCAAACAGGTGCCATTGATACAGGTAATGAGTGCAGGACAGAGGAGCCTCTTAAAGAAGAAGGTACAGGTCTGTGAGAGCCAGAAATCTTGCTTGTTTGTAGGTGACTAAATACTTATTTTCCACCATAATTTGCAAATAAATTCTTTCCAAATCAGCCAATGTGATTGTCTGGATTTTTTTTCTCATTTTGTCTCTCATAGTTGAGGTCTACCTATGATGCCAATTACAGGCCTCTCATCTTTTTAAGTGGGAGAACTTGCACAATTGGTGGCTGACTAAATACTTTTTTGCCCCACTGTATATATATGCGTAGTTAACAGATTCTATTCAAATCTAAACTCTTATTTTTTAAGAGCATCTTATATGTTACCTCTGTTGATAACGTTCTTCTTTCTGTTTGACAAATTATTCTTATTTACATTGAATACATAATGCAATCTATATTTCTCTTTTCATAATACAGTCTATATTTCTCTTTCATAGGTTGTTCCAGATAATTAACGGATCAGCTTCTGGAGTCACCCATTTGTATGCCATTGCTCACGTGATTCATTACGGAGTATCTAGTTTTGCAAGGTTTCCACTATTGCAGTTGCTGCCCAACATTTACTTATCTTGAACAGCTACTGGATTGTAAATGGATATTGAGACACGGAAGTAAAAGAATAACATAAAGGATTGTTGTAAAAGTTAATTTCTACATTACAGAAAGCCTCCTGCCTATAAGGAGGTTAAAGAATGATGATGACCAGCACTACCACTGACCATGTGAAAATGGAGCCCCCGTTTTATCATGAGGATACTCTAAACTTGCAAGATTTTGCCCAGATTTCAGGATACAGTGGAAGTTCTCCTGGGGAGACCCCAACAAATCACCAAACTAGTGGAGCAGAAACTGCTGTCCGGTATACTCCAGAACATAAATTATTGAGCGCTAACATAATAATTCAGGCTACAAACCTAAAAAAGAAAGGCCTGGGGGCGTGGTTGCAGCAGCCTCAGTTCCCCCATCTGTCATACCTGATGGTTTCTCCGAGGTGATAACTCGAGGCACTGATGCATTGAAATTAATGCAAAGTGGGAGCGGTAGACTCTCCGATTCTGCTGTGGGTAGTCGTGAAGTTGTGGTTGGGAATAACCTCAGTCCAGTACCAGCTTCTGAAGTTGGTGCCATAGTGGTGGCAGTTGGCAACAGTACAGTTAGCAATAACACCAGTAACACTGGAACAGATGTTTCTCTACTTCCCTCAGCTACATCGGCTGCATTGAACTTACTTAAACTTTCTCCACCAGAACTAGAGCACCTTTTAATTCAAGCTGCCAGCCCTGGCCTTTCAGCTACATCGAGTAACAATCCTAGTGCTGCTGCTACTGCCCCTTCACAGCAGGGTACTACTGTGCCAACTACCACAGTTCCACATCCCTTTCTTTACCGTAACCAACATATTATCACACAAGAGCAAGAGGGCTTTGCAGATGGCTTTGTTAAAGCATTAGCAGACCTACACAAACAGAATCAGCTGCTGGGAGCACCAATTTCCCCATCTGCTCTTGCTACAAGCTCCCCACCTTACCCAACCCGCTCATTGCATCCGGCTGGAGAGGTGCCAGTCTACACCAATCTTAGCAACTTCAACCCTACAGCAGCTGCCACGCAGCTTAGTCCTCCACTCCCACAGCCACCTCCTCCTGCCTCCTATACCGGTAATTCTGCTAATGCCACACCCACAGTACAGCTTCACTTTCCTGGACTCACCCGCTTACATACAGTAAGAGGTCCTCTTGATGAACCACAAACAGTACCTGATGTATCACAGTCTGGGGCTTCTACAACTGGTGGTGGTGATACAAACACACCCCCTTCACTTTCACCAATTGATCTAGAGAC